TTTTTATGCTTATATTGTCTTGTTAATTTTATGTTTATGCTATTTTCTTTGAATGTATTGATGATGTTTCTTGGTAACCATTCTGAGACCCATCGGGGAGATAGAGTGATATATAAATAAAGTTTTGTTGTTGTTGATATATATGGGAACAACTCCTTTACCTTGGCCATTGGAAGTTGTAGCCTCCAAAAGTAACTTATCTACATTTTGCTTAGCTTGATGGATCCCATGCATTAAGGGGAAATCTGAGAAGGTACAACAGGGTCCAGGCAATCAGAGCCTTACTTTCTTTGATTTGGATCCAAAATAGGCCACTCGGTCCCATGTAGCAACAAAAGCCCACGTGGCTTTGAAAGACATCTCGGGGTAGTACTGATTGATTTCTTCAGTGCAGCGTTGAAGGAGCTTCGGGTCCTGGGTTTGCCTCCAGAAGACATCCCCACTGATAGGACTGTAGACATCACCCCAAAATGGAGCGACAACAGGTGGCCCCCCATTCAGAGGTAAAGCGTCAGGTGTCCCGGCAAACTCTGGAACTGTTGCACTAAAGGAGATCAGCCCATTGTTATCCACCTGAAGAAAGAAGACAAAAAAAGAAAGAAGAGAAAGTGGGAAACAATTAGGAAATGATAGCTTCATGAGATATACATGTTTTTAATGAATGTGTTTTCCTGGGTTGTTGTAGGTTTTTCCGAGCTATATTTATTTACTTTATTTATTTACTTTATTTGTATACCGCTCTTCTCAGCCCTTAGGCGACTCAGAGCGGTTTACAACAATTTAGGTATACACAATACAAAATCATTAAGCATTTAAAAGCAATAGCATCGCAAATCATTAAACATCAATATCAATACATCACTACATCAATATAACAAATCCATCAGGTCTCATCAATGAAATCAGAATCCAAACTCGTTATCCGATATTCCGTGTTCCGATAGTCAGTCCATCAATCACACTGCTTAGTCGAATGCCTGTTCAAACAGCTAGGTCTTTACTTTCCTCCAGAATGCAAGGAGGGGGTCGATCTAATATCTGCAGGAAGGGCGTTCCACAGCCGAGGGGCCACCACTGAGAAGGCCCTGTCTCTCGTCCCCGCCAGGCGTGCTTGTGAAGCCGGCAGGATCGAGAGCAGGGCCTCCCCAGACGATCTTAATGTCCTAACTTGTTTATAGGAGGAGACGCGTTCGGACAGGTAGGTCGGGCCAGAACCGTTTAGGGCTTTAAAGGCTAAAGCCAGCACTTTGAATTGTGCCCGGTAGCAAATTGGCAGCCAGTGGAGCTGGCGCAGCAGTGGAGTGGTATGCTCCCTGAGTGCTGCTCCTGTTAGCATCCTGGCTGCCGATCGTTGGACCATTTGAAGCTTCCGAGCAGTCTTCAGAGGCAACCCCACGTAGAGAGCATTGCAGTAGTCTAAATGGGATGTGACTAGAGCATGGACTACCGTGGCCAAGTCATGGCCATGTTCTAGAGGCATTCCCTCCTGACGTTTCACCTGAATCAACGGCAAGCATCCTCAGAGGTAGTGAGGTCTGTTGGAACTAGGAAAAAGGGTTTATATATCTGTGGAATGACCAGGGTGTTTTCCTTTGGTGTGAATGCAAAGTGGAGAAAAGAGAGAAATTTTAGTAGAATTGCAGTGAATTGCCAAGGAGAAAAAAATAATGAAGAAAAAGCAGCAATCTAAAAATGACCCCATAAAATTAAAATAAAAAAGAGAAAAGGGGGAAAGGAATGTAGCATCTCTAGAACTTTTTTTTAATTTCAGCATGAGTGTTCTTAGACATAAGCCCATTTCTTCAGATGCAGTATAAAATGGTATCTACTACTCTTTCTTCTTGCCATAAGATACATGTTGTGCAGAAGTCTGCAGTTTTTGTCAGTGTCATGAATAAATAAATTCATCAAGCACAAAGATAGTAGAGCAGGTGCTTCAGACTATATATCTGTAGTACTAAGAAAGAGAAGCAAACTGTTAGCTAACTACCGTATATACTCAAGTATAAGTCTAGTTTTTCCAGCTCTTTTTTTAGGCTGAGAAAGCACCCCTCGGCTTACACTTGAGTCAACGTTATTTATTATTTCACACTGTTATTGTTATTGTTGTTATTACATTTATTATTTTACTTTGATGTTATTATTATTATTATTATTTTACTCTATTTATTATTCTTATTATTATTACAATTATTATTTTACTTTATTATTGTTATTATTATATTTATTATTTTACTCTATTATAACTGTTGTGATTATATTTCCATTATTTTACTCTATTATTATTGTTTTTACATGTATTATTTTACTCTCTTTATTATTATTAGAAGGATATATAAGCACATTTACACTGAAGAAGGTTAGAATAATGGTTTAATCAGAGTTGAGCAGTCTCATCTTAAATTACAGTTTTATGTAAATATTCAAAAACATTTAACCTACTGATGCCTCAATTAATGTAATTTTATTGGTATTTATTTTTAGTTTTGAAGTGTAGCAGTAGCTCCTGCATTTCCCACCCTCAGCTTATACTCGAATCAATATATTTTTCCCAGTTTTTTGTGGTAAAATTAGGTGCCTCGGCTTATATTTGGGTTATACTCAAGTATATACGGTAGTTATTTTTATTGTGTTTTTACCATCCAAGATTGGGAGAAGTGCTTGAGAGCAGATAAATAGGAAATGTATATTATCACACCACATAAAATTTGGGGTCCTCTGATAGGTTCACATAAATCACAAAGGATAAAAAGACATATAAGAGCTTGAAATTAATTCCTATTAAATCTACTGAATCACAGAAATACGTGTTGATTTACCAAATTTCACTTAATTCAATGGATCTCTACCTCTACTGGAATAACAACTGGATTTAAGCTGAAGCAACCATCTATCTGATAAAGAAGCATGAGGTTGTGGTTTGTTCAGATTAGGGGTTACTTACATAGATAGAGTTGTATGCCTTGCCATAGAAGGGGAAAGGCACTGCTGTGGAAATCTCTGGAGACACCCCATCATCTGACTTGGGGTTCCTTGTGTCACCATGGTCCCTCCCATAAGGGTACAGAAGCGGTTCTAGAACAGGATAGAGTTTCTTCATTTTCTAAAAAAGTGCTGTTTCTTGGCCCTTACTATCAACATACTAATTGAGAACGCATCCACACCATAAAATTAATACAGTTTGATACCACTTATACTGATATGGAGCCCCCAGGGTGCAGTGGGTTAAACTGCTGAGCTGCTGAACTTGCTGACTGAAAAGTTGGTGGTTCGAATCCGGGGAGCAGGGTGAGCTCTCACTGTTAGGCCCAGCTTCTGCCAACCTAGCAGTTCAACAACATGCAAATGTGGGTAGATCAATAGGTTTGATATGACTTATACTAACATGGAGCCCCAGGGGTGCAGTGGGTTAAACTGCTGAGCTGCTGAACTTGCTGACTGAAAGGTTGGCAGTTTGAATCCAGGGAGCGGGGTGAGCTCTTGCTGTTAGGCCCAGCCTCTGCCAACCTAGCAGTTCAAAAATTATTATTATTATTATTATTATTATTATTATTATTATTATTATAACTTTATTTGTACCCCGCTAGCATNATAGATAGATAATCATAAATTAACAAGTAGTCAAAAGCAGTAATAGCACAGTAAGACTCCGGTAATTGCAGAACCCATACCTGTGGTTTCACTTTGCTGCACTCAGTCTCTAACAATTTGCTACTTCTGTGCAATTCTGTGGCATTCTTTCCCCCAGAAGTTAACATAATGGTCTCACAAGAAAATGTTAAGTCTCCACTGCCACTCTGTGGTTCTCTAGGTGATTTGATGGCATTCAGTCATATCCATGGTTTCACATAAGATCAATCTGGCCAGAAACCCAGCTTCTGTAGATATTGAGATCATACTGTACTTGGGTTTTTTGAAGCTATTTCACCCACCAAGCCAAAGAGGAGGAAATGACATTGTCATTAGACTGCAGTTCCCGGCATTGCAAGCCAGCATAACCAGAGGTGAAGAACTCTGTGAGCTGTAGCTGATGCTCACTCTAATCTCAACAGCTTTCATAAATAACTTCCTACATTGTTTAGATAGGGAGCAAACTGTATGAGTCTCGGGCCCGTTCTACCCCAATCCTGCACATACCACACACACATCCATAGAGTTAATTGCCTATTACTTGGGTTAGCTATTAGAAAGACTGAGATATTACATGAAGTCACTCCGGCATACAATTTTAAAAATTGCAGACGTTGTTGTTTTACTGTAGAGAGTAATGTGGCTGCTGTTGAGGCAAATGTCAACACAGAGATGAGGATCCTCCCGATCATCCACAGCGGTGAGTCCCAGATTGTGGAGACTCAGCCGCATGAAGGCTCTGCGCACGAGGAGGAGGCGGAGCCGCAGCCGAGCGCCCCGGCTTCACGTCCAGCAGGACCCTTTCGCGGGCTTAGAGAAAGCATTCACCTTTGTGCGCCAGAAGGGGGGAAGTGTGCTGATGCAATGCAACTACTGCCTGCCGGTCATCAAAAATGTCAGCTCCGCCGTGAACTCAGCCACCAACTTGAGGAAACATTTAGAGGTAAGAGTTGGTCGTGCCAGTTCTCATAAAGCGCCAGAAAAAGCCATGTATTGAGAGAGGGTTAAGTCTGGAGAACATGATGGACCATGTTCCCATATCAGTCAGCCATGGGATTCAGATCTTTAGGGTAAGCCCTTTTCTCTTCATCCTAAAGCCCTATGAGGAGCGGCTTAAAGAGCTGGTCAGGTTTAGCCTGCAGAAGAGAAGGCTGAAAGGAGACATGATGGCCATGTATAAATATGTGAGAGGAAGTCATAGGGAGGAGGGAATCTAGTGTCTAGATCCAGGGAAGTCATGCTACCCCTCTATTCTGCCTTGATTAGACCACATCTGGAATAGTGTATCCAATTCTGGGCACCACAATTGAAGGGAGATGTTGACAAGCTGGAATGTGTCCAGAGGAGGTCAACTAAAATGATCAAGGGTCTGGAGAACAAGCCCTATGAGGAGCGGCTTAAAGAGCTGGGCATGTTTAGCCTGCAGAAGAGAAGGCTGAGGGAGACATGATGAGGGCCAGAGATCAAGATGTGAGGGGAAGTCATAGGGAGGAGGGAGCAAGCTTGTTTTTTCCCTCCCCATTTTGTAGGAGGCAATGGACCAATGGCTTCAGACTACAGGAAAGGAGATTCCATCTGAACATTAGGAAGAACTTCCTGACTGTGAGAGCTGTTCAACAGTGGAACTCTCTGCCCCGGCATGCGGTGGAGTCTCCTTCTTTGGAGGCTTTTAAACAGAAGCTGGATGGCCATCAGTCTGGAGTGCTGTTGCACTTCAGGACAGGAAAAGCCCTCTGACTGTAAACACCACACTGTTGATTGGAAAACAATTTTTAACTGAAGATAATTAAAAAGCAGCAAGTAAAAAGCACTTAAAAGAAATAGGTAAATCCAATTAGGTAAGAAGATAAGCAGGAGCAAAAATAGTCCAGGGTAAAAGTTCAGCAAAGTCCATAAAAACAAAGTCCACTCTTCTCTAATATAATTCAGAAAACCAGGAAACTTTAATCCAAGTCATGAGTATGCATCCATACAATCCAAGAATCCAAACCATGAAACAAGAAATACTTAGTCAAGTATCTTCCAAGCAAGGCTTTCATGAAACAAGGACGAGAACTACACTTGAACTATACATATTTATACATGGCTATCATGTCTCCTCTCAGCCTTCACTTCTGCAGGTTAAACATGTCCAGTTCTTTAAGCCGCTCCTTATGGGGCTTGCTTTCCAGACCCTTGATCATTTTAGTCGCCCTCCTCTGGACACATTCCAGCTTGTCAAAGTCTCCCTTCAATTGTGGTGCCCAGAATTGGACACAATATTCCAGGTGTGGTCTAACCAAAGCAGAATAGAGGGTAGCATGACTTCCCTGGATCTAGACACTATGCTCCTATTGATGCAGGCCAAAATCCCATTGGCTTTTTTTGCCACCACATCACATTGTTGGCTCATATTTAACTTGTTGTCCATGAGGACTCCAAGATCTTTTTCACACGTACTGCTCTCGAGCCAGGCGTCCCCCATTCTGTATCTTTACATTTCATTTTTTTCTGCCTAAGTGGAGTATCTTGCATGGCTATCATGTCTCCTCTCAGCCTTCTCTTCTGCAGGCTAAACATGCCCAGATCTTTAAGCATCTTTGTAAACATCTTTGAGTTGGGAGAAAGCGTAAAAGATAAATACGTTAGCAAGAAAGAATGATGGATTGTATAATTTATTTACATGTTTTCGGTTTTCAACAGCCCTTTTTGCCCCCATCCTTAAAATTAATGCTTTCTTGCCCCTTGGTCTTCTCCAGAAGGCACACCCTGAGAAACTGGGAACATCTGAAAACGCAGGAAAGGGGAAGAAGCGTGGCTTTTTTGAAGAGCTGCTGGACGATGATGATGATCCGCCTTCGATCAAAATGTTGAAGCAACAGCAGCAACAGCAGGCCACTCTGGAGAGGTGGGGATCGGGCAAGGAGCAGATCACCCAGAAGATTCTCGACCGGAAAATCATGGATTTCATTGTGGACGAAACTTTGCCTCTTCACACCGTAGACCGGCCGTCCTTCGTCGGGTTGGTCCGCCTCGGCCTCCCAAAGTGCCTGACCATCATGTGCTCCAAGACTCTGAGGGACAGCATCGAGAAGAGAGCGGCCAGTATGCAGGAAAGGCTCCTGCGGCGGCTGGGTGCCGTGGAACATGTGGCAACCACCGCGGACTGCTGGACGTATGGCAAGAGGCGTTTCCTGGGGGTCACAGCCCACTGGATCAACCCAACGACGCTGGAGCGTGAGTTCGGGGCCTTGGCTTGTAAGCGCCTCAAAGGGCGCCCCACTTACGAGGTGCTTGCGAAAACCCTGTGCAAGGTTTACAAGAAGTACAAGATCCACGGCAAAGTTGTGTGCACCACCACGGACAATGGCTTCAACTTTGTGAAAGCGTTTCGGTTTTTCGAGACCAAAGAACCGGCCGATGCTGCAGACAGCAGTGCAGATGATAACGTAGAAGATGAAAGTGACAGTGACAGTGATGAGGGTAATGGTCATCGCCATGATGATGAGGAGTCCGACGATGAGGAGATGGAGGTGGAGTTTGTGCCCATCTCCGAGATGTTGAATGGCAGCAACAAGGCAAAAGCAGAAGCGGGGGATTCTGGGGATTTCGGCTTACCCCCGCACCAGCGATGCGCCAGCCACACCCTCAACCTGGTGGCCACCCAAGAGGTCCAAGCCATGGTGACCAACTCCTCCCCAAATAGTCCTCTGGCTCTTTTCAGAAAACACTTTTGCTCCTTGATGGGAAAATGCAGCAAGCTGTGGTCCAAGCAGGAGCAGTCGGAGCAGATTGCAGAGTACATCCACAAGCAGTACGGGGTGTATCTGATGGTGCCGGACAAGACCAGGTGGCACTCCACCTTTGAAGCCCTGAAGCAGCTCAGTGAGCTCCTCTCCAGCATGCCGCTGAAGCTGGATACCATAATGGACCAGTGTTCTCTGGCCAGGATCACGACGGCCGAGGCTCTGGTCCTGCAGGAATACACAGAGGTCATGGGTCCCCTGGCTCAGGCCCTTGACATCCTGCAGCAGGACAACGGCATGTTCATGGGGTACCTGCTCCCCACTCTGTACAACCTGGACCGCAAGCTCCAGGGCTTGGAGAAGGAACCCGCCAGGTACACATATTGCCTTCCCCTCTTGAAGGGGGTCCGCAAGGCGCTCCGGAAACGGTTTGCACATATTTGGGAGGACAAGAAGCTTCTGCTGGCGGCTTGCCTCCACCCTCGCTTCAAAGTCGACTGGTTGGAATCGGCACAGAACTCCCAGACAAACAGGTAAGGAAATAAACAGCATGCCTCATTTAATGAAGTAGATGGGTTCATGGACATTGTCTCTTTAAAGGAAACTTTGGCAGAAAAGCAGAGTTCAGTTACTACATCAAGAAAAAAGAAGAGTAGATCAACCACGGGCAGCAGCGAGCTATGCCTGTACAGTACAACGCCTGTATCCATGGGGGACACATTCCTGGACTTCACATGGATACACAAAATCATAGGTAATCAACCAGTTGGATCAACAACTTATGGGTTACACCCCTCTAAGCATCACTAGGTCCTTCTACACAACTCTATGGTCAAATTCCAGTAGAAGCATATCATAAAATCATCTGGAGAACCAATCAACAACAACAGCAATGTGTTGTTGGAGGCTCTCATGGCTGGAATCTCTGGGTTGCTGTGAGTTTTCTGGGCTACCTGGCCATGTTCCAGCAGCAATTTCTCCTGATGTTTTGCTCACATCAACGGCAGCCATACTCAGAGGTTGTGAGGTCTGTTGGAAACTAGGCAAGTGGGGTTTGTCTGTAGAATAATGTCCAGGGTGGGAGAAAAAAAAACTCCCGTCTGTTTGAGGCAAGTGTGAACGTTGCAATTGGCCTCCTAGATTAGCATTGAATAGAATCATAGAGTTGGAAGAGACCTCATGGGCCATCCAGTCCAACCCTGCCAAGAAGCAGGAATATTGCATTCAAAGCACCCCTGACAGATGGCCATCCAGCCTCTGTTTAAAAGCTTCCAAAGAAGGAGCCTCCACCACACTCTGGGGCAGAGAGTTCCACTGCTGAACGCTCTCACAGTCAGGAAATTCTTCCTCGTGTTCATAATAGCCTTGCAAGAGTTCCTTCTCCCACTCTGGACCTTCCACTGATATATAAACACCACTTGCCTTGCTTCCAACAGACCTCACAACCTCTGAGGATGCTTGCCATAGGTGTGGGTGAAACGTTAGGAGAAAATGCATCTGGAACGTGGCCAGACAGCCCAGAAAACTCACAGCAACCCAATCATCATCATCATCATCATCTATATAAATAAAAATGTAATGTTTGTTTGTGGGATTAACAGAACTTAAAAAACACTGGACGAATTGACACCAAATTTGGCAGCAAAACACCTAACAACCCAATTGTCCTTCACTCAAAAAAATGATTTTGTCATTTGGAGTTGTAGTTGCTGGGATTTATAGTTCACCATCCATTGTCCATTGGTTTTGGAGTTGTAGTTCACCTACATCCAGAGAGCACTGTGGACTCAAACAATGATGGATCTGGACCAAACTCTACACAAGACTCAATATGCCCAAATGTGAACACTGGTGGAGTTTGGGGAAAATAGAATCTTGACATTTGGGAGTTGTAGTTGCTGGGATTTATAGTTCACCTACAATCACAGAGTATTCTGAACCCCACCAGCGATAGAATTGGGCCAAACCTCCCACACAGAACCCCCATGTGGGCCACAGCAATGCATGGCAGGGGAAGGCTAATCTATATAAATAAAAATAATAATAATAATCGCATGTACTGGTCTTGCAGGTACAGTGGCTGTACTGTGGAAATGAGATGTGATTGGTGGGCATTGGTTTGGTGGGTATTGACCTTGAGTTTTGAAGTAGGAGTTCACCTACATCCAGAGAGCACTCTGGACTCAAACAATGATGGATCTGGACCAAACTTGGCACAAATATTCAATATGCCCAAATGTGAACACTGGTGGAGCTTGGGAAAAATAGACCTTGACATTTGGGAGTTGTAGTTCCTGGGATTTATAGTTCACCTACAATCAAAGAGCATTCTTATCTATCCAAACACATCTCCCCCTATGAACCCAGTAGAGATTTGAGATCGTTGGAGAAGGCCCTGCTCTCGATCCCACCTGCTTCACAAGCACATCACGGGGACGAGAGACAGGGCTCTTCTCTGTGGTGGCCCCTCGGCTGTGGAACCACTGTGCCCAGGGATATCAGATCTGCCCCCTCCCTCCTAAGCTTTCGAAAAAAAACTGAAAACTTTGCTATTCGAGTAAGCTTTTGAAGCCTCAGCTTAATCAGATAAACCTTGAATTGGAAAACGACATAGGAACAGCTAAGACGATGGAACGGATGAGGACTGACTATGACGACATAGTTTTAAATTTTTTATTGTTCACTGGTTTGATGTTTTTAGATCATTTTTATTGACGTATGTATTTTATATATGGCATCAAATTGTGCCGATTGTTCGTGGCCCCGAGTCACCTTTCGGTGGGGTAAAAATGATATTAAATAAATAAATAAATTCTGAAAACCCACCAATGATAGAATTGGGCCAAACACCCCACACAAACCCTCCATGCCTTGAAGGGACTCTCCCTTCAGCCTTGCATGCTCTCCCTCACATGCACACCAAACACCCCCCCCCCCCCCCCCCCACATACACACACACTTGGAGTCTCAGAAACAGCCTTCACCTTGGCTGAGAGACCAGCTAAGAAGCTGGTCAATCACACTGGAGGAGGGCTTTTGGTGGGAGGACTCTAAAAAGGAAGAGAAGGACAGACGGAGACATTTATTTATTTATTTGCCCGATTTATACCCCGCCTTTCTCTACCCCAGGCATCCTCAAACTGTGGCCATCCAGCTGTTTTGGCTTCCAACTCCCATAATTCCTGAATATTGAACAAGCTGGATAGGGCTTCTGGGAGTTGGAGGCCCAAACAGCTGGAGGGCCACAGTTTGAGGGTGCCTGGTGTACCCCAAGGGGGACTCAATGCAGCTTACATATTGAGATCTTCAGCTTTATCTGCCAGAGGGGTTCCTAAGACTTTCGGACCATTTATTTATTTATTTATTTACGACATTGATATGCCGCCCTTCTCACCCCGAAGGGGACTCAGAGCAGCTTGCAAGTTATATATACATACAATTTATTATTAGCATAGTACAATATCAGTTTTAAATATTGCAATATTGTACTATATCAATGATACTGGAGTATTATTAGTAATACTACATGTAATATAAATATATAATTATAATATCATATTATTATTATTGTTAGTATTATATTGCATTACATTATAATATTATAAATATTATATGTATATATATATATATATATATATAATAACATATGTGCATTTATTTATTTACATCATTTGTATGCCGCCCTCCTCATCCCGAAGGGGACTCAGAACGGCTTACAATATATATATATATATATATATACACACACACACACACACACATACATACACACACACACACACACACACACATGTATACACACACAATATATTATATTATTAGCAAAGCACAATATCAGTATTATATATTACTACAAATGTGTGTTTTCTGGTGGTCTTTGGTGACCCCTCTGAAACCCCCTAGCGATCCCCCCAGGGATCCCTAACCTCAGGTTGAGAAATGCTGGCAAAATTGCCAGTGGTTCCTAATCTGTGTTACCATGTCCCCATCCCCTCCAGGTGCATGATGGAAACCTTGTTGAAAGCCGAAATCAGGGGCACAGTTGAGGAGGCCGGGGACAAGTCCTCGGAGAAGGACCCCGAAGGAGCCAGTTTGGAGGACGAGTTCTTCAACATCCCTCCCCGGGAGAAGACCTCGGCCCAGGAGGACTCTGTGGAGGAGGAGGTGTCGCGGTACCTGCGGTCGCCCAGCAGGGAGGTCTCCTTGCTCCACGCCTTCCCTCGCGTCATGCAGAGCTTCCTGCAATACAACACGGGGATGCCTTCGAGCGCCGCCATCGAACAGCTCTTCAGCACTGGCGGTAAAGTCATGACCGTCAAGAGACATTCCTTGTCCGACGAGCTCTTTGAGCAGCTGGTGCTTCTAAGGCAGAACAGGGCGGTATTTTAAAAGCAGGCTTTTAGGATATTATATATTTTTTGTTTCTTTTTGAGTTTTATTCTGTGCATTGCTCTGGGGTATTGCTACCAGGAGGGGGAGGGAGGGTGGGAGGGTCTGGGCATAGTATTATGCCACTATCTATTATTAATCCTATGGATAAACTTGTTACTCAATCCTCTGTGTGTGTCTATTCATTTGTTGCTGTCTCCAGCCAGGGTGAGCATTGCATACAGCTCCTGGCTCCCATTTTCCAGCTCCTGAAGACACCACATCCAGTATTTAAAAATGCAATCCAGTTTTCCATAAATTTCTGGGTTCCACTGAAAACCCAATAAATGTGTCAAAGCAAACAAAAATATCCTCATGGGCAACATATGATGACATATCACTCTATTTATCTTTTATCAGTTCTTGCCTACATTATGGTGACCAGCTGTTGGTTTATTTATCGTGTCAGGAGCAAACAAACAGTTGCATTGCATTTTTAAACAAACAAACAGACGAACAAACAAAACACAAAGTTTGCAAGCTTGGTAGTTGATTAAATGTCCTTTGACCAGTATCTGGCCACTTGGAGTGCCTCTGGTGTTGCTGCAAGAAGGTCCTCCATTGTGCATGTGGCAGGGCTCAGGTTGCATTGCAGCAGGTGGTCAGTGGTTTGCTCTTCTCCACACTCGCATGTCGTGGATTCCACTTTGTAGCCCCATTTCTTGAGGTTGGCTCTGCATCTCGTGGTGCCAGAGCGCAGTCTGTTCAGCACCTTCCAAGTCGCCCAGTTTTCTGTTGGATATGATAGTAGTAGTATTAGTACTACTTCTGCCTGCAGCAAAGCACCAAGTAAGGAGAACTGCTTACTCAGCACTTGGGTGCAGGCCCTTGCAAGCCTGGATGCTTTGGCCCTACACACTCAGGCCTGTCAGGGCCTGAAGCCGAGTGTTAAGTAAGGAGCGCTGCTTACTCGGCACTTGGGTGCAGGCCCTTGCAAGCCTGGGTGCTTTGACCCTACACGCCCAGACCTGCCAGGGCCTGAAGCCGAGCGTTAAGTAAGGAGCTCTGCTTACTCGGCACTTGGGTGCAGACCCTTGCAAGCCCGGGTGCTTTGGTCCTACACGCCCAGGCCTGCCAGGGCGTGAAGCCGAGCGCCAAGTAAGGAGCGCTGCTTACTCAGCACTTGGGTGCAGGCCCTGGCACCCAAGTGCTGAGTAAGCAGTGCTTTGACCCTACACGCCCAGGCCTGCCAGGGCCTGCAGCCGAGTGCCAAGTAAGGAGCACTGCTTACTCAGCACTTGGGTGCAGGCCCTGGCAGGCCTGGGCCCAAGTGCTGAGTAAGCAGTGCTTTGACCCTACACGCCCAGGCCTGCCAGGGCCTGCAACCGAGCACCAAGTAAGGAGCACTGTTTACTCGGCACTTGGGTGCAAGCCCTTGCAAGCCTGGGTGTTTGGCCCCACATGCCTGGGCCTGCCAGGGCTTGCAGCTGGCACCAAGTAAGGAGTGCTGCTTACTCAGCACTTGGGTGCAGGCCCTTGCAAGGCCGGGCGCTTTGACCCTACACACTCAGGCCTGCCAGGGCCTGAAGCCGAGTGTTAAGTAAGGAGCGCTGCTTACTCGGCACTTGGGTGCAGGCCCTTGCAAATGCGGGTGCTTTGGCCCTACACACCCAGGCCTGCCAGGGCCTGAAGCCGAGTGTTAAGTAAGGAGCGCTGCTTACTCAGCACTTGGGTGCAGGCCCTTGCAAGCCCGGGTGCTTTGGCCCTACACTCCCAGGCCTGCCAGGGCCTGCAGCTGAGCGCCAAGTAAGGAGTGCTGCTTACTCGGCACTTGGGTGCAAGCCCTTGCAAGCCCAGGTGCTTTAGCCCTACATGCCCAGGCCTGCCAGGGCTGCAGCCGAGTGCCGAGTAAGGAGCACTGCTTACTTGGCACTTGGGTGCAGGCCCTTGAGACCTGGGCGCTTTGGGCCTACACTTTGGGTTGCGGAGCAAGGCCACTGGCAGCAAACACGATGGGTCATCAGCCCAAGCCAGAAAGCCCTTCAACTCTCCAGATGAAGGTAAGGCAAACCCCGTCCAAAAGTCACGCTGGGAAGGGGAGCCTGGGTGGGAAGCCCCCCCCCCCCAATAATGGGCCGAAAGAAAACAAATCTTATGGCACCCGAAAACCAAAAACAAATGTCTGTCCTCCTGATTTCGGGAGACTCAGTAGAAATGGATTGGGGGCTCCACTGAAAGCCAGGACATGAAATGAATCAAGGTTTACCCTGAATGCACACGACTAGTGTGCAGTCATTAATCTGAGACAGATGGTTTTCCAACTTGCATCCTTGTTTTCACCCTCCTGAGCCACTAACAATCAAAATTTCCACAAAAGGAGCCAATTGTTGATGAAAGAACAGAGGGAGGAGATGTTTCCAATTCCTCCTTTCCAATGTTTCCCAAAATCTGGTGTTTCAGCATATTTGGACTCCAAGTCCCGGAATCCCCGATGACACAGGACCAGAACCCAACATGCAATCTTTTCCTAACACTAATCTTCCTGGTGATGAAGTCCAGTCCTTGATCATTGGACACTACAGCTAAGGTGTCTGGAAGTTGATGTCTAAAATCCTGGAAGACTATAATCCACAGTGTTTCCCAAACTCTGGTCTTCCAGATTATTTGGACTCCGGCCCGCAGATTCCTAGATTATTGGCCGAGGCAGCTGAAGCTTCTGGGAGCTGAAGTCCAAAAGTTCCCAAGGACAACCCAAATATTAACGAAGTTTAACGGAATCTCAAACATTTTCTGTTCCTGGTTTGGAAGTATTGTTTCCTGTTCAATTGTGCAACACTTACTTGGAAAGCAGTTGTTCTGCTCCAGAGACTTTGTTATTGTGGTTGCCACAAACTATGCTGAACTGGGTGAGACTATGAGATACTCACTGAAAAACTGTAGCAAAATGTGCTATTGCAGGATGATGTCCATCCCATAGAAAAAAAGTTTCTGGTTGTGTGTTTTCTAGGCTGTATGGCCATAGTCCACAAGCATTCTCTCCTGACGTTTCGCCCACATCTATGGCAGGCATCCCCAGAGGCTGTGAGGTCTCCTGGAAACTAAGCAAGTGAGGTTTATATTTCTGTGGAATAATGTCTAGGGAGGGAGAAAGAATTCTTGTCTGCTCAAAGCAAGTATGAACATTGCAAATGGCCACCCTGATTAGCATTTAACTGCCTTGCAGTTTCAATGCCTGGCTGTTTGCTGCATGCAGGAATCCTTTGTTGGGAGGTGTTAGCTGGTCCTGATTGATTCCTGCTTTTTTAAAATTCATCAAAAAACTGTAGCAATATGTGCTATTGCGGGATGATGTCCATCCCGCAGAAACAAAGTTTTTGCAATTTAATAAACTTTCCCTATGGAAATGACATTGATAATGCAAGAACGAAAATTATGTGTCGTGGTGGCCTGGGATCTTTTGCAAAGCAATGCCCACCCTGCTTTTGTAACACATTTGAATCCCTCCTTGCTTTTTGCATTAAGGAGGCAGTTCTTTTGCAAGGGTGTTGGG